GAACCTCATCACCCTCAAACCTTTTTCTTTAGCGCTTGCAAAAGCCAATACTATATTACCAAACATCACTCCTCAGCAAGATTTCCTTCATGTATCTACAATCTTGTATGATTTTTTAGATTAAAAAAAAATGATCATAAAAGATGTCACAGAATAACTCAGTAAATCATTAGAATAATTAATAAGTTCATGATCACAACAGACTATTCCTTTTCAGATATTTCCATACTGAGTATTCCTTCCTAATAGAAAATTTTAGGGACGAGATTTTGATTCAGATTTCACATTTACTCTTTGCCTCTCCTCTTTTCAGATAATCTCAGTCTTAAATGTTCTGTTATTTTTTTAATTTCTGGTTCATCTTATACAAGTTCAAGTTCAACCTTGCAAAAGTTATTAAAAGATAAGTGCTCTTTAAAACTTTTTTATATTAAACACACTCTTGCATAAATGGTTATATAAGTGTCAGTCATTTACTGATCTAACCATTTAATCTTTGTAGGCCAAATTATTTTATTAATGTTTACTACTCTTACAATGGTGCTTGTGCTTATAAATTCTGCCAGAGATTCTCAAAGTTCCTGTACAAATAGTACAGATTTTCCTTGGAACTTGTCAGAAATGCATATTCTTGAGTTGACTCAGATTTATTTAGTCAGAAAGAGGAGTAGAGGGATGGGACGGGACAGTAATTTGTGTTTCTAACAAATCTGCCAGGAGATGTTGAAGCATTCTAATTTTGAGAGCTGTTGCTTTACCAAATGCAGTATTTTCAGTTATATCCTTTAATCCTTACTGTAATACTGTAACAGCAGTGACTATATGTGATCTCAGGGAAATAAAAATCAAAGAGATTAAATAACTTGTTCTAAATCATACTGCTATTTAATAATATTTCAAAGTAGAATTTTTGGTCTTTTTCAAATAAATTTAGACGTTATCTGTGAACACATTGAGGCGATATCAGTTACTTAAACATCCTGGTTTTCTGAATGATTATTGTATGAGATTTCACTCTTTCATTATTTTTGATCATCATGATGTCTTTGGCAAGTCAAATAACAGGACCATACTTTCTTTTCTGGTCCAAGATCAATTCCATATATTTTTTTAAACCAAATGGCTTTTAAACTAAAAAATGATTATATAAAATATCTTAATGCATTAACCTAACAAGCCCAAGATAAAAATACGAAGTTTTATATAACAGTAAAAATTTACCAATACTATAGACTTGAGTTTACTGCTCTAATCTTATTTTAATGACCCACACCCATTTAACTGCTGTTCAGTTACCAGCAGTGTTTCTAAGATTAATTTGGAGTTATTTCTGCCAAATGAAACAGTGCTGTCCTCTCTGTTAGTTATAATTTTCATATGAGTCTATTTAAATTAATTAACTAAATTAGCAAACCATAAAATCAAGTATGTTTATAGGGACCCAAAACCTTGTAATGGCCTCTGTTGGAGCCTCTAGACAGAAAATTCTTAATAAGAAAAAGAGTTTATTTTACCGAACAAGACATGATGGATCCTTTAATAAAAAGAAATTGCTACTTTAAGTTGTAACTAATATTTCTCTTGACTGAAGTAGAGAATAATTTGCAAAATGATAAGTTGACAAGTCAGACTGAAATAATTAATGAAGATTTAGGGTCATATTTTATTTTCCATTATGTTCTCCATATCTGTTATTTCAACAAGATTTACATAAAGTGGCATTTGAATTATGGAGAATAAAAATCTGGTTGCATTATAAAACCCAGTCCATCTGGGAAATGATCTTGGGGCTATACTAGTTACAGAAAATAATGTAATACTCTGATATTTCATATGTATAGATAAATAAAGACAGGTTATAGGATATTTTTTAAATCATCTTTGTAGTGGTAGTTTTATTTATGCTTTCTGTTAAACTTCTTTTAACTTCAGAGAAAAGTAAATTGGTGGTAATTAATTTCAGAAAATAGTGAGGTGGTCATCTCAATAGTTGTTAATAATCCAGTTTCTAGACCCTACCCCTAGATAGTCTTACTCAATTAGTGTTAGGAAAGGACCCAAAAACCTATATTAATGGACACTAATAGTGATTCTAGTCCCTAGGCCTCATTGTAAGACACTTTGAAAGAAAACATATTTCATCAAACTAACATGCTAAAATCACCAAGGACAAAAATTCTGAATATTACTGTTCTACACCCAGCTTTTATAGCCAGGTAGGATTCATTACTCCTGATTCTGACCATGGCAGTAGTGGACCAATTTGGAGTCTTGAAATATATTTATTACTCTATCCCTGGTACTTAGTAAATTGTTAGGCACACAGTAGATTCTGTGTAAATGCCTTGGAATGTTGATGAATGAAGGAAATCCCACTAGCTCCTTGGTTAGCATTCTTTTGGGTCAGCTTTCTAAGTTAGATGTACAGTTTCATCTACCTCTTTAAATTCTACATGTCTTCATAAAAGGAACCTCGTCTTGCACATTTTCATATCTTTACTTTTAACAGTATTTTATCCATCCATGGTCAGTATACACCTATCAAGTAAAAAATAATTTTTTGTTTTTAATCTGTCATACTAGATTGTCACCTCCATGACTTTAGGGATCTTGTCTTTCTATTTCACAGCAGTTTTCTCAGTAACTTCGTAGAGACTACAAGCTCTGAAACATTTGAATGAATGAATAAATTAATATAAGTAATTTCATTTCAGATCATCTTAAGATTTAATGTTGGGGCTTGATGGGTGATAAAAATTATTTTTATATAAGAGGGAAAAAATCTGCCTTGCCCTTTAAAAATAAACACCGTTGAAATATATTTACCTTTCACAAGAGAAAAGATGGTAGAATTTGACAGATTCTGAACTGTAGTTTCACCAGTTTATTATGGTTAAAGAATTTTCTCTCTTACTTACTATTAGTTTATGTCAGTAATTATGAGAATATTACAATGAGCCTAAATGTCAGTTTCTTGACATCCTATAAAGTAAAAATATTTTCCCAGAATTGAAGGAGCCTGTCAGTCTGATCTTTGACTTTTCTTAGTTGAAAATAAGGAAAACAAGGATTTTCCAAGTATCCATGGAACTTACTGAAATATATTTAGTGTACTCTTCAGAAATAGTCTTGTGGTAATGTTTCCAAAGCATTTTGTATTAGCAAATAAGTTAGAATTTTGACAAAGTGTGAATTCTCAAACTTTATATCATGGAAGACTGTGATTAACTTATGTTAAATTTCTCCACATAACTTGCAGTTCTTGTTTTATTGTCTCTAAATTCTCTAGAATGCTTTTCATTGAGGAGCTTATCTTCTCTAGATTATCTACTTTCCTTCACTTTGAATACACCCTAAAGGAATATTAGCTATTGAAGCATTCTATTTCTTGATTGATTGTTATCTACATCCTAAATGTGGAACATTTTCTTTGACAAGTTTACAGACATCAGATTACCTGGGTTTATTACATACCCTGTACTCCAGATCTGTGTTACCATATCTCCTTTCTATCATTTCCACACTTCTTTCCCTTTTTTACTGTTATTTGTCCTCAAAATGTTCTTTTTTTTTTTTTTTAGAGGCATGTTTTATTTATTTATTTATTATTTGTTTTGTTTTTTTTGTTTTTTGTTTTTTATTTATACATGCACTGGGTACAGTCAGAAGCGCGGGAGGGTGAGAGAATTCACCAGAGCCAGAGCGGGGAGCAGAGCAGGCAGAAGGACTGAAGTACACTGCTGAGGGGAGCAGCAGGCAGCAGGAGAGGTCTGCGCGCCATGTGGGACCCTCCTCCTGTGGCTGCGGATCGAACTGGTGCCTCAGAGGGCGTGGGCAGCTTCGCAACCCAGCGCTCAACCACTGAGCCACCGGGGAGGCCCGTCAAAATGTTCTTAAAACAGCTCACATAAGCATTTTAATTCCCTGTCTAAAACCATGTTTTCCTAAATGAGTAAAATGCAAAAAACAGCCAAGTTCTAGCATCCAGAAAAACATAAATAACAGAAAAATACAGAGAGATATTGAGGAGAGAGGCAAGACTTAGAGCTACAGATTTTTGTGGCCAAAGGGGAATAGCATGACAACTCTATGGTGATTTAGAGGTGTTAGTTTGGAAGCTGGGATTAGAACTTGTATTTAAGTCCAAAGCACCCACACTAATTGTCCTTAAATTGTATATTTCAGATTTTTATTAAAATATCTAAAGGTGATTTTATTCACACCATATAAAATTCAAAAAGATCAGCTATTCATATGAAACAGTAAAATTATTTTTACTGGGCGGAAAAGTGGAAGTTAAAATTGCAGCATAACAGAGGAGATATGACAGTCACAGACAGGCAGCAAATGCAGACCATGCAGCACTCGCTTATCTTATTCTTTTAACTTGCATTCATATTCTGCCTGGTGATTGTCCTTGGAAGTACTTTATTTCCTCTTCTCCTTGACAAAACATCCCCCTAATTCAGATTTCCACACATTTTGTGGATAGTACCACAGGAAGGTGTATCACAACAAAAATGTCAAATACCTCTCTAGATGCATTTTAATTTCCAGGAGTTCCCTAAGGTATAGTTTGAATGGTTGGTCTTAGACATGATTTTGTCCAAGCAAAAGTGGTCTTTACTGTTCTCAATTTCTTTAAATATCTTTATGATACTGGAAAACTTATTGTGGATAAATAAGGCCCTGGTTATTTTTTATGTACTCTTTCCCCATAATGATTGTGCTAATGAACTATCCTCAAAAGAGAAATACACAAATTAATTCCATATTTTATAAATCCATTAATTTCAGTTGTAATTTCTGCCAATTTACAGAATAACAATAAGTGAAGCATTGTTACTGAATGCTATTTAACTTGCCTTTATCTTACATATGCTTTGTTCTAAAATAAGGAAATGAAGATTTCATAAACTAGGGGGTTTATTTAAAAAAAATAGTACTTGTTTATATTTAATGAATGTGCATATTAAATAAATTGCTTTCCTTTATTTTAGGTGATGGTGTTTGTACATGCTCGAAATGCCACTGTAAGAACAGCTAAGTCTCTAATAGAAAGAGCAAAAAATAATGGTCAAATTTTGTGCTTTTTACCTACACAAGGACCTGACTATGGACATGCAGAAAAACAGGTAGGGAACAAATGACAAGTTCCAAGAACCAAAGCACATAATGTGTTAAACATGCCAGATATTTTCTATGAAATTCCCCTGTCTTCAGTTTCTAAGATGCTACTTTTTCAGATTTATTGTGTATAATTTTACCTTTTTTCTTCACTTAATGATATTTCAAGGATACCAAATACTTGATGCATTCAATTATCACTTCTTTTCATGCCATTGCAACTATAGTGTCATATTCTGTTCTTTAAAATATAGTTAAAATATAAAATGTAGTTAAGTTTCATAAAATATGCTAACATGGGGCTTATTGTTCTTTTAAACATTTAAATATATGTTTTATAAATTGCTCAGTTATTATTTCTAAGGTTAATATGGACAGATATAATGTATATAAGCCAAACATGTTTTTAAGAATGTGAAAGTCTGAGACAAAAATGTTTCCAAACAACTGCCTTGCTAGTCAGTGTACAATCAAAGGACAAGAGTCCTGGATCTTCATTGGAAATGCAGAGCCATAGGCCCCAACAGATACTCACCAAGTCATAGTCTGCATTTATACTTGGTCCTTAGCTGATCTGATGTACATTATGGTCTTAGAAGCACTTCTCTAGATAACGTAGATATTGATGGTATCTTAAGGTTTACAAATAATGGCTTTAAATCAAGTAGGCAAAATACAGCCTGAGAGCCAAATGTGGACACCTGTTTTTGTAATTAAAATTTTATTTTAAAACAATCCTCTTTATTATGGCTCCATTTATTGACCTGCAGTGTAGAATTAAATAGTTGCTACAGAGACTATATCACCCACAGGCCAGAAATATCCTCTGTCCCTTTGTAGAAAAAGTTTGTCCGTGTTTAAAAGTATACAGATAAATTTTCAAATAAAACAATCTCTGCACAGTAAATGACAGTAACTTCAAAATATTTCATATGCATAACACAAAACTTAACTGATATTTACTGATAGCTGCTGGCTCTCAGATTTTGTGCTGTGCACTTTCAGATTTATCAGCTTAAGAAAATATATCTAGTGTTAGGATTGCATTGTAAATTTCACCATTTTTTGTTAATAATTAAAATTATGAATGTAATGTTCTGATGCCAGTTGTTTCAAATATCAGATTCTCCTCCAATTTAGAAATCCAGTGTCTATCATTTTTTTTTCATTTTATGTAGTTTTCTGCTAAATCCTTATACCACCTATAGTCTTTTAGATATTTATTAATTATCTGTGAGTCTTTAAAAAGTTAGGTTGGTATTCAGCTGTCTTGTTTCATTTCTTTGGAAAATACAAAGCAACTCTGTTGTGTTTAAAAGCCAAGTCTTGAGAGCCACCTTGTGGCTTTCTGGTTACTTCATACCTCTCAATTCTGAAAACAATCTAATAATGTGGTTTATGTGCTATTCTAATAATGTGGTTTATCATTTCATTGCTATAATAATAAATTTGACATCAAGTATTTTCTAATCCTAGGATTTGTTTTCATTGTTTTATATAACTCATTCAATCTTCAACAACCTATGATGTGTGCTGGCACTATTATTACCCTTGATATGGCATATGTGTAAATAATATAGCTTGAAGTATTCTAAAGCATATAGAAATTGTTTTTATAGAAACATTTTCAAATAATGTTTAATTAAGACAATGTCACCTAACACAAATTCACAGATGACTATATGCAAAAAAAATAATGACAAAATGGGAAGTTTTAATATAGTAGGCAGACTTGGAAGTCTGTAGTCATTTTTATTCTCCCCTTTTTTTGTTTTGGTATTTTTATTGTACTTGATTTTTATCCTGATCCAACTGTTATTATTGGATTTTTTTAAACAAGAATGAACTCTATAAATACTAATAATTTCATATTTTCAAGGAATATTGTCCTGTTCACCATTATATTTCTAGCCTTTCATATATTTGGCTGATAATAGATACCACAAAATCGCCATTTTTTTCCTTTGTACCTCTCAGACAAACAATGTAAGAAATGTTCTCACTTTCATTTTCTCATTTCATCTGCACGCTATTCTATCATTATAGAAATTTTTCCCCATTTATAGATAAGAAAACCGAAACTGTGAGAACAATTTTCCCATAGACACTCAGGTAGCAAGTAATAGAGCCATGATTTGAATCAAGTCCACTCTTTTCACCACACTGTATCCTTTTTATTCAAAAGCCAAAGTAAACCAGATCTGTGACCTTCTAAGCTTGTAGGGCTCTGAGCCTCCTTTTTTAAAGTAAAATGGGAGAAAATTTCTTCAGTCTAACATATACGTCATTTCTCTAAAGAGTAAAAAAAGTTGGCCTCTATATAGTGGATATTATTTTATAACAAAAGATAAGGTAATCTTTCTGAATACTTTATCAAAGCTCCAAAATTTTGGATCATTTTTCTATTGCTAGTTGTGTTTCTTATTTCTTGAAGTGCCTTTTGAACAACTTGAATGGTATTAACATTCTGGTAATTCTAAGGAAGCTATTACCATGATGGTAGGAGATATTTCTTCCCATGTTTTTGAAAAATGAGAAATTAAGTACCCAAAACATTAAAATAAAATTAGAAGGTAAATTTCCTATGGTAGTACATAGAAATTTAGCCTCATGACTCCTGTTAATGGAAATACAGCCAAATTCCTACTGTGCCACAGTGATACTTTACCCCTAAGTGTTTAATGTAACCATCTTAATTCCTGACCTACCAAGTATGGTTTTTAAAAGCATTTCTTCACAATTTTGTTCAATACATTATAACTTTATTTATATAAATAATAAATAAAATTCCATTAAGGAAATGTTTCTTTCTCTCCATCTCTCTTTCTCTTTGTCTCTCTTTCTGTGCATGTGTGTGTAAGTAGGTGTGTAAATAATAAGGCTATTTCTGTGCCTTAGCCACAGCTACAAATGAGTTCTATCTTCCTAGTAAGTAGCAACTACACTTCAGGATTTATCTCATCACTCTCTTCTTTAATAGCAAACTTACCCCTTATGAAAAACCAACTATATTTCCAATTTTTCTGCTGATACAAGAAATTAGGTAAAGTATCCAAAGAGTAGCTTAAGCTATCGAGATAGACTAGGTTTCCTCCTGAAGAAGGGAATCTCTCAGGATTTCCAAATAAAGCCCCAAGCAAGAGCACATTAACAAAAAGCTGCAGTTGTGACACCTCTAAAAATCCTGTGGGGTTAAACATTTTTGAAATTTACTCTCTCTTCTATGAAATGGAATAATGAGATAAATAACACTTATTCTAGTAGTTCACTGTGAAAAACAACAAGAATGACATGGAATTATTTTCGAAACTGGCAGAAAAATTTTAAAACTTTACTTGTATTATGTATCTACTATACCCAATTTTTACTATACCCAAATTTTAAAATGGAGAGAGGATAATCTGAGCAACATGGATAAATTTCTCTTTTTCGCCTTCCATACCATTATCTTTTGCCTCCCCCCACAAGGATACTTCTTTAAGAAACCACTATTTTCTGTACATAAACCATCTCAGAGAATAGTAGCAGTTCACATTTATAGGAGAATGTCATTAGGAATGCTGATATTTTTATTATTAAACCATTCCATTTAGTTATGATTTTAAATTGAATGAATATTTCATTTAGAATCTCCAGATTCTTTTTTTCTTGTGATGTCAGTCAAGTAAATTCCTTCTCACAGACAGAATTTTTAACAGGCTTTAAAATATTCTATTATTCAAAATCACCCCTGTATTTTATTTCTCAGATTTATGGGATTGCTGTGGTTCGGTCCTTCATATATATTAGTGATTCTAAGAATTTTTCCTTTAGGTAGAAATGGTGGATCATGCAATAAACTTCATGAATGTAGCTATTTGAAATATCTGTTTAAAAAGTCAGGACATTAGTGAAAATTCACTAATAACATGTACCCTTGAGCTACCTTACACAGCATCATTTTATGACTTATTATTTTATTATTATCTAGATCTACCAACTATAGGTATTGAGGATTTTCCCTTTCTTTTTGGGTTCTTTGGCTGGTCTAACAATTAAATTGTTAGAGACTGATTAAGTGGAGAAAACAGTTCACTGTTGTATTTAAGTGCCCCAAAGTTACTCAAGTAGGTAGCTTTTATACCTTTCAGACAAGAAAGAATTGAAAGAAAAAGGAGTTTGGACTTGGAGAAGTAGACTAGTGAAGTAACAAGGTTTGTTTATACAGAATACAAAGATGCCTGGTATCCTTCTGATATAGAGAAGGTACCTTTCAAATGAGGAATTTATCTCCTCCTTTCAAGGACACAAAAGAGGGTCAAGGTGTTCTTCTTGCACCTGCTATTTTATTAAAATAATTCTAATTCAAACTAATCAGTGTGCCAAAGTGGCATATTTCAGGGTGTCCTCTTTTGCTTACTTTAACAACCATTCTTGTTTTCATAGCTTAGCCGTTCCCCAATTAAAGGAATTTGTTTTTAAGTTACTAATACTTAATATCAGTAGCTTTTTTTTTTCCTGCCTAAGCAGTTTTACGGTGTCTGTGTGGCCAAATAAAATGGGAATTTCTTCTTCTTGAAATAGATAATATCTGTTAGCTAAAGATAAATGCCTAATAATTTCATTTCTCTTAATTTTTACTTTTTTTGAAGGAATTCACAATCTTCCAAATTTATTCAAAACACTAAAGAAAATTTTCAAAATTGCAATTATTGTTTTGTAGTCTAAAATTGTGATTTTTTTTTTACTTGAAATACATGTAAAATCTTATCTTCTCAGGCTTACTTTTCCTCAGCAACATTAACCTCCTCTTTTTTATTTGGAGGTTAATATAATTCAGCAGTCGGCTGTCTGTTGTAATTGCACAGAAAAATATCAAAAGTATATTAACAATTTTATAGAAAAATTAATTTAAAAAATAGAACTGAGCATATAACTGTATTTTTGGAAGCATGACATTTAATTTTCAAAGGAAAATGATCTCTTATAGAATAAAGACTTTGGACCCAGGCAAACCTGGATATTAATC